CACCAATCCTTTCCATTGCCCCTGACAAGTTTGTGTGGTTTAAAGAACAATTGTGATTTGTTTTCCAGTTTTCATATTTAGAATGTTGTTTTCCGTTGAACCAAATTTGACACCCTCTGCAATACTTGCTTAATACATCTGCATCAACATATCGATCGCTACTTATAGCAGTAACTACACCATTAAGAGAAGAATGTCCTCATTTCTGCCAAGTACCATCAAGAGAAACCTGGATTAATGGAACACCGGTAGTGGATTTTTCAGCAGCATTTGCTTTAATTTCATTTGCAGCAAACTTCATACAATCTTTAGCAGCAGAATTATAAGCAGCTTGAATCAATTTATAATTATTTTGAAAAGCATTTACATTCATGCAACTCATATTTGTAATATAAGCGAAACATTTAAGCAATAATCATTCTTAAGTTAATATCAAATGCACTCCTGCCTTTACTTTGTGTGCTTTTGTCCGCAGTATTACTTGTAAAAGTGCACCATTCATATGAACATGATGTGCATTTGATTTTCAAACTGTGTGAAAATCCCATTCTCTTTGAATCATCATTTTGTATGGTTACTCCATTTTGACAATCTGGGCAGCTACCAACTTGCATTAATATTTCTTTGAGAATAGGAAAATACATAATTAAATTAAAATCATTTGAACACTGTTTTTAATTCAATTTAAATTTGCTAAGCTTTTTAGCACTACATGATTTTTTTAGTAAAGTTGTTGTTATTATTTCGGTTTTACTTGCTTTTTGGAACTTGTTCCCAGCGAATGTCCTCTTCACTTTTCTTAAATAATTTTTTTTATTTCCCATTACTTTTTATATTAGCTATATTTAAATAAAAAAAGAACTAAAATCCATAAACAACTTCATTAGTAAAGGTAAACATAAATATAAAGTTTTGTCATTTATTCATCTCTTATATAGCACTGAAAGTAAATGTAGTTTGTTTATTTTTTTTTAATCTACGGTATAGAACGGACTTAACCATCATACTAAAATTCAATTTTTTGAAAAGTACAAAAATTAATCGAAAACAAGAAAGAAAAGTGTTGATAGGGGCCGTTGCTATGGAAAATTATTTTAACCACCTCGTTTAAATCTTAAAATAAACCTTTTGTGTTTATTTTTCTGAAAAACAGATTTCAGAAATGAATCCAGGGATAATTAATTATCTTAAAACAATCTAAACTGAAAATTTGAAAAATTTAAACTTTATTTCCTGGTAAACCACCTTAAAAGCGTAGGTACTTTTAAGGAGGTTGAGGGTATTCAAAAAAACGTATAGCAAAATGCAGTGTTTGGAAGAGAAAGGTCGAAACAAAAGCGTACGTACTTTATGGACGACACTATCAGACTTGTTACAATTCTACTCTTCTTACATTCTCCCATACAGATTCTTTTGCGCGGAAAAGTACTTTGAGCTTACGCAAAGAAAACTCACATTTTTGGCACGTGCCAATAGTATTTCACTTTGACGGAAATTTGTTTTAAAGCGGGAAAAAATCTGGAATGTAGAATCAAGACCCAAGCTTTGTTTTTTAATTGTTATACTAACTAATTACAATTATACTTGTAACAACAAGAAATGAAAAACAATAACAAACAAACAAAAAACAATATAAAAAATACATTTAATTTTATTTATAATAATTTGATTTATAATATTTTATTAATTTATAAAAATTTGATTAATGTAATTAATATTAATTTATAACTTTTTGTATTTTAAATCAACAATACATGAACAAAAAAATATGTTTTTATGACATGGTTTCTTGATTTTTATATGGTCAACACTTTCTCATAACTTTTAAAATGTGTCCGTGCGGAAATTTTCCTTGTCTTTATTGCAAAGAATAGGGACAATCTATTATCTACATGAAAAAATATTTTTAAAAACTAAGCGTGTCTTAATATTCTGTATTTTAATAAATTCTTGAAGACTATAAAATTACAGTGGTTATATTTTAAAACATCTGTAAAAATTCATTATCATCAAATGTTCAAAGTAGATTTGGTTATCGCAGACGAAGTTGACAAACTCTTTTGTTTGCTTTAAATAAAGAATATATATTTATGTTTTAGGATTTTGTATTGTAATTTTAATATGGCAAAATTTCCAGCAGTTTTTAAGGAATTTGAAATGTTTAAATTTCAATCAGTCACAGATTTCAACCTAATCCAATATCAATGGAATGCAGCACTAGTTTATATGGCATTTATTACAAAATTTTAAAGCAGCATTGACAAATCTGTAATAAAATATTTGCTATTTAATGCCGTTGTATTTAAAGTATCTTTTGTAATAAAGTCACAATTATAGACAGCTAGTGATAATTGTTAGTGATGTGATTTGTTTCTTGGTTCATGTTTTTATTTCTAAGAATTTTCTATTTTTGGACAGAAGTAAGCCAAGGGCTTGGTTTTTTTTTCTTTCATTTTTTTCATGTTTTAATTTTTATTATTATGACAAAATATTTGTCAAATATTAGTCCAATATTTCTAATATAAAAATTAAAATAAATAAAAATTGTAGAGTAAAATAACATAAAATATTAAAATATGACAGATATAATTTATTTTTAAAAAATGATTATCTGATTAAATAAGTTTAAAATGTACTTTAATAAAAATAAATTTCTTTCTGATAATTTTTTTATAATAGTTTTATAACACTTGTTTTAATACAAAAAGACTAATTCCATCAACACTAATAGTTTTATTAACATCAAGTTGTTGTTATTTGTTTTTAATTGTGTTAATTGACAGTTGTATTATATTACCACTAGTTAAAACATGTTAATGAGTAGGGTGCTATTTGTTTATGCTATTATATCAAGAATGTTTTTTTGTATATTTGTTTTTAAATACTGAATTAAAACTGTTATTAAGCATGTTTGCTATTTCATCTCCATCTATAAAAATATTTTAAAAGGCTATTCTTTTTTTAATTTTTTGGTAAGTTTACATTGTTAAAAAATAACGGAATTATTTTTAGAAAAATCTACAATTTTTTTTTTTGTATTTGAAACATTTTATGTTAATCTGCTGCTTCACAAATTTGTTTTTTTATTGTTTGTATTGTTGCTGCAAAAACAATGTTGTTTTATTGTTTTTATTATTGCTGCAAAAACAATTATTTAAGTTTCTTTATACCAATTAGGTTCACTTTATGACTTGTTTGACTTATTTATTGATCCATGGTTTTTTATTTTGATAATTCCATAATACTTTATATTTTAATAGTTCCATGGTTTTTTATTTGGATATTTTTTATTGCTTTCTTAGCTATATATTTCATACACACTTTATGGTATATGTTTAATATTATCAGTTTTATAACATTTTTGTATGTTTCCAAAGATTTTAGAGAAATTATATTATTCAAAATAATGTTTTAGCTGTACATATTTTCTTACCTAATAATTAAATAGCAATTTATTATAATTTGATTTTCATTTTTTATTCTGACTGTCCATTAAGTATTTAAAATGTAATACTTAATGCGCTATAATGAAGTTGGGTAATAAGTTATATTTGTGATAAAATTTTGCAGCAGCAAATGTGTTATTGAACTTATGATTTTTTAATTCTGATGAGACAGGATGCCAATACATACTTAACTTGATCATTGTTTTTATAATACAATAAATTGTATTATTAACAAATTCAGCAATTTTTAGAGTAGGTACTTTTTTTTTTTTTTTTGATATATAGCAACACCTCCGTCTTGTTACTATAAAGAGTTTGATTTAGATCTGTGTTTGTAAAAAACTTATTTAATCACATTTATTAGTGAACGTTCAACAAAACATGTTTTGTTATTATTTAAAAAAAAGAGATTATAAGATGTTTTTAACAAAAATAAATTAAATGCATTGTTTAGTGAATAAGTATTAAGTGTATTTACAGAACCATTTGTACCACTCTTGTTATAATTTTCTTATGCTGTTATATTGGGTGCATTATAACTTACTAATTTTTTGTAAGTGTTAGTTACACTATTTTGATACCTCTGAATAAAAAATAGGATGTTAAATTATGAGTTTAAATTAAGTTCTTTAGCTTGGTTTCTAAAATTTACATTTATTTTGCTTTAATTAAATAGTATCAATGATTTCGAGAGGATCATCATAATTTTGTTCAAATGTAAGCGGTCACATTACTAACTTAAAATGTTAATGAGCTGGATCAGTGTAAATATTTTTTTTATTAATATTGATGAAAGTATTGTAAGATTATAATGCATTTAGTGTTAACTTTATATAAAAGTTTTGTACAAGGATTAAGTTGTTAATGAATAAATAAATAATCTATAACATAAAATTTTAAATTTTAAGATAAATAGAAGGGAAAATGATAGAGGTGTTTATTTACTTTAATCCTTTTGTTTTTTAAAACATTTTTGATAAGTTTTAAATGTATTGTTGTTGTTTTTTTTAGTTTTATTATTATTGTTATTATTAATATTATTATTATTAATATTATTGGCCGCAGAAAATATAACCTGGAGTGACCAGGTTTGAATAAAGAAAAAAAAAATTAAAATAATATAATAATATTGTACAAAATAGTTATTAAATATATCTGGTTTGAAAAATATGTTCTTTTATTGAATTCTACCTAAATTATGTGGCTTGGTGTAGCATTGTCATAACCAGATTTTCAAAATACAACTATATTTAATCTAAATTTTATTACTCAGCTGCTAACCTTGCAAACCAAGGGCCTAAGTAGTAAAACACTGTTAAGTAATGACCTTAAAACTATATTTTCTGTTAATCGATTCAAAACAAAACTTTATCTAACTTTTTACTTTTTTCTAATTGTTTGTTTCCTCCCATTTTAAAAACTTATTCTGAAATTTAATTCTATGAAATAATGAATATTTTAAATGTTTTGTGTTATATTTCTACATATAATTTCAGCAGATATATATTTATTGAAAATACATTTAACTTCGTTTTATCTAATGATGATACATTTGATTTATAACTGCATTTTTTTAGGTATAACATTTTACTAGTAAAAATTAAATTTACACAGTCTGTACATATATTTGCATCATGGGATGCGCATTTAGATTTATTCAGTACATAACATCACTTTTTATTTTGGCTTGTCTTGGGTTAATAACCACCTCTGCAGTTCTTGATTTTTGGTGGACTAATGATTATTTCATTCAACAAGATGCTAAGGGTATTATTGAACTTGATTATTGTTTTAATTATTTTCATATTTTTATTTTTACACTTTGAACTTTCATTCTTTCATCTTTCAGTTTTACTCTTGTTTCTAATGAATATTGTGAAAGTATTTATGGATTTAATTTAAAAGCCTAATAGATTTTAATTGTTTATAAAATTGGTTTTATTCATTTTTTAAATCTTATCTCTTCAGGTTTATGGAGAAAATGTATAAAGAGGATTACTTATGACACTTATAATTGTGAAACTTATGACAACCTTTTCAAATTTTCTAACTATAAAGGTAAGATTAACTTGTTTTAGAGTAGCTTCTACAATTATTGCCTAGTATTTTGGCTTCAAATTTCATCAATATTTATGTTTTTTGTTGCTTTTAGCATAAAACATTCTTTCAAAATGATGGATGCTTTTTTAACTGGAAAAATAAAAATAAACCTTTTGTTCTTGTAATATACTTTTTTTTTTCCAAAACTTTTACAAAAGCGTTTAAAAAAAGCATTCTGTATCAGATAATTTTTGGGTTGAATTTGATAAAGGTGGCTAAATGTTATTCACTTCAAATTTTGTAGAAGTGTCATTTACTGGCAGTTAAAAACAGAAGCAAGCTTAAGTTAAATAAGAATTAATAGTAAGCTTTTTTTAGGCTCTAACTAAACTATTTTTGAATATTAATGAAGCAATTGCAAGATTTTTTTCTTTGGAATAAATTTATAAAACCATTGTAACCACTGGTTGTTTAAAAAACAGATAAGACATCAGATAATTAAAAATGTTATGACATCAGATATGAACAAATATATTCTTTTTAGTTTTCCCATTTCTTCTGCTATACAAAAGTATTAAAGTTTAAATCATTTGTTATCATCTTTTTGAGAAAATTTAATTGATGATGATAATGATGATGATGATGTTAAAGGTCGTGTTGATCATGATCATGTTTATATATAAGTATACATGCATATTAGAGATAGAAGTAACTGGAAGAGACAAGATAAAGTTTATAGAGCAAGATAACGATTGACAGATGACTTAAAAGATTGCAAATTATATGAATCAGGAAAGCAAGATGAGAGAAGCGAATTCCAAAGAACTGATGTTCAAGGAAAAAAACTAGACAATTAAGAGTTTTTAGAGCACTTCGGAATAGTCACAGAAAAAGAGTGAGACTTGATTGAATGGCAAGTAACACGGAATGAATTTTAGTATATGGCGCAAGAGATGCTAGCTCTTTAGAGCAATGGTTGTTATAGTAATTGTAGAAAAGAGGAAGAGAAGCAGTATTATGACAATGATAATGGTTGGAGGTTGGCTGCAGGAGTGCGTGCAGGAGCATGATAAAGAGATTCAACCTTATCTAAATGAAGGTTCACCAGCCGCTGTGAGCCCCATGCTGTTGCATGGGGCTCACAGCCCCATGCAACAGCATGGGGCTGTGAAATTCGAAGTATTTCAGGTCAACAACTGTTTCTGTAAATTTTTTATTTTCGTTTTTTGCTTTCTGTTACAATAGGGGTGATGATTAATTGATTATAAAAGTATTTCTTTATAATAGCATAGCTTCAGACAATAATATTTTAAAGAACGTAGCAATTAAATTTTGTGTAGTAAATTAAGTATATAGCAAATTTATGAATGAGTGATTTTTTAGTTTTGAAGTTGTTTTTTGGTTTATTTATTATATTTTAATTGGTTTTTTAGATTGCTCATTGAAAAAACATTGTTTAGAAATACAAATTTAGTTTATGTGCTGTAGGCAAAGATTTTGTTTAAAACAGCAAATTTTTTAATAAAATGAGTAGACAGTTTACTCCCAGTTGTTTTAACCTCTACAGGGAATAAGCATTTAATTCTCTTACAGTAGTAGGAATGGTGTTTTTAAATATTTAATTGTAGTGTAGTATAAACTTGTAACTATATGTAAATTTATGGAGGAAAGTAAAAGTTAAAAATACTAAAAATAGTTTTTTTTTCTTATATATAAACACTGTTTCCGTGCAATGGCGATTATCTTATTGACGTATTTTCATAATTTACTCATCATCAGAATTTTCTTTTCAATTATCATCAGAAATATTGCTTAGGTTAATGTTAGAAATCTAATTTTCTTGATCAGAAGATTCACTGTCAGAAGAAACAAGGGTTTACAAAGCAGTCATTACTCAAGACATTTTGTTTTTGCTTATTTTTGATTTCTTAACATTAGCATGGCTCTGTATCCACCTTGGATTATTTCTTCGCCATTTGGGTATTGGTTTAAAAATAATTATATAGCATGATCATAAAACGTTTCGTCAAAACTTCTTGTGCATTTTAAGCGGAGAATACTTTCTAACCTTTTATTAGAAATTTTTTGGAGATCATTGGAAATTATTTTTTTCTGCATTGGAAGTTGGCATTGCAATGGATAATTCCACTATATGTAGGATGTTTGTGATACCTAACAGTGGTGTACCCTCATGGTCGTTCAGTGGCACGGGGCAACTTGTTTTCTCCAAGGGCGACTGAAATTTTAAAAAATGTCTGACATTAGTGTTGTTACTGTTGCAGTCGTAAGTTTTTTGTTATGTTTTTTATAGCTTTTTCCCTACAAACTTATAATAATTTGCTCCTTATAAACAAAGAACATGGCTTAACAAAAACTAAAATTTTAAAAATATCATTAGTTTCACCCAAGAAAAAATACAAAAAAAAACTTTTACACCGGACTACTGATTATCATAGCAGACAATTCAAGTGAGAAATAAAAACTGTTTCTTTTTTTATTTCTCAAGTGAGAAATAAAAACTGGAAATAACCAGAGGCTACACCACTGCCTATTTGATGTTGCATTTTAAAAAGATTCGTCCAAATTTTTTCTACTGATTTTTCAAGCATAAATCTTTTAGTATGTTCCACTACAATTTCCAGTTCCAGGCGCATAAAATCACAGTTGTTTCCTTCTAATAGAGTTTGGAATTTTGTAGCTCTTTCCCTTTGATAACCTAATCTTCTTTAAATAGTGTGTTGTTACTACCAAGTTCTTGTCTGGTTTCTCTTTCCATAAATAAATTAATGTCTACATTTTTTAACTTGGTAAGCATACTAGTCTTTATATATTCGCATAGCTTTAGAATGTTCGCGGTGTAATAGCTTTTCCAGTTTCTCTAATGTTTTTAAAGTAGTTGAGCATGTTGTTATTAATGACGGTAGAATCAACAAGTTATCCTGTAAAATCCTGTAAATTACTTAACGGTTGAACAACAAGAAGGACATCCTGCTTTGCTGTGCTTCAAGCTTAGATATGATTTTTTTCATTGAAGCATTATATGGATCAGCTATTTGCTGGTTGTAAAAACCAATCAAAATTTCTAAATTATGGTTGTGTGTTGATTATCTACTTGATGTTCCAATAAGATTATCTTACTTGAAGCACCCATTCAACAAGTTCCTGATGGGTGCTTGTATTTTTTATATTCAACACCAACAAACAAAGCCTGTTATTTAAACAATTGCATCTAAGCAATGCTTTTTTAAAAAGGTTATGCAGATCTATACAGGTTTTTTTTTGCAAGTTGTATTAATTGCAGATTCTTTAAATGTGTTACTTATTGCCTGAAATATAATGACTCCCCAGCTCATTTTTGATTAGTCTATGTAAAGCATGATTTACAGAAACACCATCAGAGCAAAGACCTATTTCATATTGTGCTCTATCAATAGAGAGTTCTAATTTTAATAAAGATGCTTTTAAAGCCACTTTTAAGCCTTCTGCATTTGCATCTTCAAGATCTTCAACAGACATCAAGGCAAATTCAGAAGCACCTAAAAAATAATAGTTAATAGAGTTAATTTTAACATAATTTTAAACTTCTAAAAAAGTGTTGAAATATAGTTTCAGTTTTAAATTTCAATTGGAAATTTAAATGTCTATAAGACACTCATTAGGATGATAACACATAACACTTTTTAGTTCGAAGTTTTAGTTCGAATAAAACATCCTAAAAAATTATAATTATTATTTAACTACATAATAAATCTAACATTTGCTTTACTAAAATATTTTTAAACATTTACTTTTAATGTAGTTCCATAAAAATTAAAATAAAGATGCAAACAAATTCATAATGAATTGTGAATTTGCATTAACAACCGTATAGTATGCCAGTTGCATCTTTTTAGTTAAATGCTGATGCTGTTCAGACTTAAACTTATATAAGGTCTTATATAAGGTCCCAGTGTTGTTTGGACTCTAAAGGCGAGTTTCCACTCCTCTGTTTTTTCACGGGAACGGGAAAGGGACGGGAAAAATATTCACGTGGGCATGCGTAGTATAAGTTTTAATATATCCGAAGTAAAACTACGCATGCTCACGTGATTATTTTTCCTGTTCCTATCCTGTTCCCGTGAAAAAACGGATGAGTGGAAACTCACCTTTACACTGTTGGAGGGATCAACAGCACTTTCTTTGTTGGAACTGTTCAGACCATATTTTACATTCAGACTATATTTTACAGCAGCACTTTCTTTATTCAGACCATATTTTATGTTTTCATATGCAAGCTGCCGCATGCGTATAAGAATGTAAAATATGGTCTGAAAAGTTATTTTTTTTAATACCTGATGTTCCCCGTGCAAACGTTTCTGTTGCTAATTTAGCTCAGAACCAAATTAAAGTTACTGCACCTTAATCATCAGTTTGAAATCCGCAGGATTTAAACCCTCATTTTTCATTGACAGTTCTGTTAAGCATTATGACTTGTTTTGAGTTTGCTTACTGTATTACTGTTGCGTTTTTTATTTTGAATGAATTTATTGGAAGCCTTAACTTCTATCAAATAAAAAAAAAGTTTTGTAATTAATGTTTCTTATCCACATATGTTTAACATAACTATACCAAGACTAAACTTTTCTAATAGACTTTCTGATCTTAAACAATATTAAAAAAACTGTAAACATGTAAATGAACGGTTTTAACTAATAAAATAAATAAAAATTAGATTTTAAAACTTAATAAAATAATAATTGATCTTAAATTGCAATTAAAAAAGCGTGAGAACAACAGGCATTTAAAAGTAATATTTTTTAACTTTTAAATGAACTGTTATGCTTGAATAAATTTGAGAAAAAAAGAAAAAATGAACGCATTTTTGTTATAATAAAACATGTCAAACTTGAAAGGTAAGTAATTACAATAAATAAATTATAAACTAATATTTATTGAATATTATATATTTTTTACATGTATTTCAATTTGCATGCTGAGACTTAATATTATATTCAGATATTCAGGTTGGCAGTTAAAAGCAAAGATAGCTTAAAAAAGGAGCTACCAAACAATAAAAAAATGCACTTTTGACTGGCTGCATTCAAAAAACTTAGCAGTTATTTCAAAATAAAGCCTAAAGCAAAGATAGCTTGGCTTTTGCGTTGGCATTGCCGAATACCGACCTGAATTTTTCAGACTAATCTCCAAGTGATCAGAGAGTGTTGACTTCTTATCAAGGCAAGAATAAATAGTAGTATCATCAGCAAACAATGCCACTTTAGGTGTGAGAATATCTAGAAAATCTTTAATAAAAATTAAAAAGAGCATACAGCCAAGGATAGAACCTTGAGGAACCCTTGAAGTTACAGTATATGAAGAAGAGTGCTGTCCATCAAGGACAACTTTTATACTACAATTGGATAGGAAGGACTCAATAATCTTAAAGATGTTACCAGATATACTGTAAAAAGAAAGCTTATGGAGAAGACCAGCATGCCAAATTTTATCAAAAGCTCAAAAATGTAAAGAGCGATAGCCTTAACCTCTCCACTTCTATCTATGTGCGATAAAACCTATCGATTATTACTGTTAGCAAATTGGCTGTAGAAGAACAGGTATGTTGTCCGGACCACAAGCTGAAGAAGAGTTCAAGTAGGAAATCACTTTAGATACAGATGCTGGAAATCTGAACCGCACAAGAGAGGTGGAATAACAGATTTGCCCTTATTATTGTTACTGTTAAAGATTCTCCAGAAATCATAAGAGCCTAATTATTGAGAATGCATTGCTAATAGATATGGAAGTAATGGTTTTGATTGGAAATTGCAGTAGCACAATGTGAGGTAAACCATGGAGAAGAGTGAGGCTTGACTTGGAATTGTCGATAGGGAATAAAAGATTCCATGCCAGCCTGAATCCAAGAAGTTATGTAAAAAGCACATTTATCAGCAGGAAGAAAATCAGGGAAAGAGTCTCAGTCAGCTTTGAGGTCGTTGTAAGAGGTACGATGATGGGGGATTCTGATAATGAAGAAGAAAGATATAATAGTTTTAGAGAGATCAAACCGTGATCAGAAGCACCTAAGGGTGAATGTGGATAAACTGAGCACTGACTAGGATCAGAAACAAGATATTTAACATGAATTTCGAATTAAAAAAATATACTTAAGGATGTATCAATGTTTATGCAACATGTCAAAAAAGTCAGTATTGGCAAGTAAAATATTAAAAAAAAATCTATTTATAGGAATCTAAAATATCCTTAAAATTACTTGCCAAAAAAATAAAAGCGTTTTGTTTTAAAATGCAGCAAAATTTTTTTGTTTATTTGTTCAACTTTTATGAAAAATGGCTTTATTTTGCCAGTTTTTTTAAAATATTTTTTAAATTTATATATATATATATATATATATATATATATATATATATATATATATATATATCAGCCCCTGGAATTAGGAAAAATAAGATCGGCAATAATTTGCCAACCTTAATCTATGTGAGGTCGGCATCAGGTCGGCAGAAAAAATGTAAAACAAAGGTTTGACCATAAAACATAGAAACAAGATCGTTGATTTTTTACCGACCTCAATTAGTTCTAGGTCAGCAGTTAGGTCAGCATTGTCGAATGGCGACTCTAATTCTGAGGGTTGTATATATATACATATATATATATATATATATATATATATATATATATATATATATATATATATATATATATATATATATATATATATATATATATATATATATATATATTATATATTATATATTATATATATATATATATATTATATATTATATATATATTATATATGTATGTATATAAATTATATATATATTATTTATATGTATGTATATATATATATATATATATATATATATGTATAAATTATATATACATATTATATATATGTATGTATATATAATTTATACATACATATATATAATATGTATATAATATATATATATATATATATATATATATATATATTTATATTTATATACACACACACACACTTACGCATGGTTATTATTAAATTTTTTGCATAAGCTGTTGTTTTAAATCAAATGCTAATAAACCAGACTAGAAATAGGTTGTCTGTCACAACCAAAACCCTTATTCTATGTATGTACACTGTATGTTCTCCCTATCAATGTGTTACATTTCCTGCATGTTCTCCCTATGTTGCATCTATCTCCCTAAAATGTATGTACACTATAGTGCATTTATCTATAAATTATCTGTTCACAATTACCCAACCCCCATTTTGTTTTTTAGACCAACAGCTTTTAACTAAAATTGCTAAAAATTAATTAATTAATAGAGTAAAAGTTTTAGATCAGAAAATTTTTGATGGAGTTGTTGTGAGTTAAAAATTATCAAAATTTTTACATATATTCTATATTCATTTTTTTTCATATAGGAGGAAGGGTAGGAATGTATTAGTTGACTAAAGAGAATGTGTGACACACAAATTTTAAATTTGTGTTTTAAATTTTTTCATTTAAAGTTTCTAAATTAATAATTTTATCTAATTTCTCATAGATACAGATATCTTGTTGTTATCACTTTGCGTTTGTGCTGTTTTTATGAGTACTGCATTCATTCTTATTTTAATCAGTATATGTCAAAGATATCCATCAAAGTGTCTCATTCTGTTCAAAGCAGTTATGACACTTTTTGGAGGTAAAATATTTAATATGAAAGTATTTGTTTTATTAAACAGTTTTTTGAAGCAGTTATACCTAATCTCTTTTACCAAACCTCTTTGAACTTGTTTAGTTTCAGTTTATGAAATGCAATTAAGTTAATAATTATTTGAAATTTCCCAGATTTTAGCCCTATTTTACATTTTAATATGATTTTTTTATAAAATTTTCTAGTTGTTTGATATTTTAAATAACAAAGTTCTATTTGAGATTAAGCCACACTTTATTTTAAAGTTTTGTTACAAAAATGTACCATGTAATCAACATGTGAGATTTGATATAACAGCACTTTGGTAATCACTGTTCTTCAGTGAGTGCATCGCCACCAGGAATGATTTCTCACCTCAATGAATTTTATTTTTAAAGTACTCTGTCAAATGTGTATATAATTTAGATACATTGAAAAGAACTGTATCTCAATGAACCATCTTTTTGACTTAAAGACAAAGACTTTTTCAGCAGATTTGATCTTGCTAATATCACTATGCAATTGATTTTGGAAATGGCATTTGTTTGCACTGAAATTAATATTTTTTATCATTTTAAGTAAATTGTTTTTAAAACTTACAAGTTCAGGAGACTGCAGTGGGGATTTTCTTGATTTCTCTTTAAAAAATTTACGAGAAATAGGGTTTTATATGCTTTAGTTTTTTAACAAAATAATGTGCTATAAATGTTTAAGTAACTAACAATATTTAAAAAATATCATTTTAATAACTTCATTTTTTATTTTATGCTTTTAATTATTAACAAATGAAAGAAATTTTTTTTTAATTTTTTAAAGTTTTTTTTAGGAAATGAAATCTCTTTTTTTAAAACACATCTTGTTTATTGCTTGTTTTAGCACTCACATTAAACCATTGAATATTGTAATTGAGAATATAGACAGAAAAAATATTAAACCATTGAGTATTGTAGTTGAGAATATAGACAGAAAAAAGGATAGTGTTGGTCTTAATCAAGTGTAATTTAAAACAGTTTTAGAGTTTGAAAAATGTTTAGAAGTATCCCAGTATCAAACCAAAAGATATGTTAAAGAAGTTTAAGAGGTTGGTTTTTTTTTTATAATAATAAAAAAAAAGATGACCAACCTCTTAGTCTTCAAAAAATTAAGTATTTTGTTGCATTTGATTTAAAGGTCAAATTAGTTTTATATCTTAAAGAGGATCCAAACATAGTAATAGGAAATTTAGTTCTAGTACCTGAGTTGCATACATTAGCAAAGAGGATCCGAACATAGTAATAGAAAATTTAGTTCTAGTACCTGAGTTGCATACATTAGTATACATTATTTTTAGAGGCTACCACGATAAGGAAATAAATGGAATTAATGACAACAAATTTTTTTTTTCTTTTTTCGAAAGTTAATTTGTTTTAAGACAATCAATTTGTTTTAAGCAACTTTCAAACAAGGCAGTGTTTTGAAGGAAAAATAAATGCAGATCTGCTGTTATGGAGTTGATGTCTAGTGCTACTCTAATGGAATATGTTAAAAATACTTGGAAATATTTTCTTTAAATTTAACCTAGAAAGTTCATATTGCAGTTAATCATATTTTATTATTTATAAAAAGTACGAGTATTGTTAATAGATTTAGAATTTATTCTGTTCATCATGAGTTTAAGAAGAAATATATTTGATACAAAAGACGACAAAATCACTTAGAACATGCTAGGCAATTAAAATTTAATGTTGTGGAGTTTTCAGCATTTAATAAATAGTTAATATGCTAATTGTGACAAAATTGTTATTTATGTATATCGTTTACCTAACCCATAATTGTGACAAAATTTATGTATATCGTTTACCTAACCCATAATTGTGACAAAATTGTTATTTATGTATATCGTTTACCTAACCCATAATTGTGACAAAATTGTTATTTATGTATATCGTTTACCTAACCCATAATTGTGACAAATTTGTTATTTATGTATAAATTTGACTTTGAAGGACTTTAATATCATAAAAGATAAAATGTAATATTATTTTTGTATTGTAAACATTATTTGTATATTATTATGAAATATCTATATAACTATATAACATTTGTGTAATATAAAGCTTATGATATTATTATAGAATATCTATATTAACAATAAATATAACATTTGTGTAATATAAAGCTTATGATATTTTTATAGAAAATCTAAATTAAATATTAATACATTTTATAAAAATTTTTGTTGTTATTATACCAACAGTTTTTTTTGTTAAAATTAGACTAAAAGTTGCCTTTTTTGTTAAAACTTTATTAGATTTTTGGTTAATATAAAAAAATCTGATTATATGTTTTTACCTAGTTTAAGATGGCACTAACAAAAATTTTAAAATACTTTAATAGTATTTTAAAAATTTTAATGGAAAGGGTCATGTTTTTGGGTTTGATTGTTTTCAAACTTCAATTGGTTTTTCCAAGCATCTTTGTTTGATAGTTTTTATTAATCTTATTGTTACATTTTGAGTATTTATGTACAATCCAGTGTTATATAAATTATTTAGGCATTTTTGGAGTCTCTAAACATTGCACTTTCATCCCCATCCTGCCCCTTCTTTCCACGTGTGGTTTTTCTTAAAGTGTGTTATAATTTTGTTAGAATATTATTATAATTTTATTATTTTTTTTTTTTAGTTTTTGCTTGTGGTTTTGCTTTGTTTTGGGGTCTGTTTAAAGTTGAGAGACCGTCCTCTAATACTAAACTTGGGTTTGTGTTTTATCTAATGTATGGAGCAATGGGAAGTGCTGTACTTGCTTTGATATTCTCGATCGTATTGCTCTGTATCCAAGCCCCTGGAGCTTACAGAGTAACTAAAAAAGATGATGAAATTATAATGCTTGCACGTTAGAGCAATGAAATTGTAAAAATAAAAGCGTTAACTCTGAAACATTATCAAAGAGATTCAGTCATGTGAGAGAATCATGAAAATGTTTTACGTTTTATGATAAAAAGTTTTGTACCTTATTATGAAGGTTATACTGTTAATATTTATTACCATAAAGAAATAATCGACTAAATTTGCACATTAATATTAGTGATCATGAAAAAGACTGCTAAAGTGTTGTAAATATTTTGTTAGTTATTTGCATTTGTTGGGTTTTCTAAAAAGTTTAATAACTTCAAATCATTTAAGTTAAAACATCAATGATTTGAATGAAAGTCTTCACTTTAATTTTTTCTGAATAGGTAGTTCTTGAGTTTTTTGTTTCCCTTTGAGTTTATAAAACTTAAACTTCTGGATGACGAATATTTTTTTTAGAGCTATTTTTAGTTGAAACTGTTATTTAAGTTTATATAACAATTTTTTTTTATGTATGAATTATTATTTCACATGTATATATATATATATATATATATATATATATATATATATATATATATATATATATATATATATATATATATATATATATATATATATATATATATATATATATATATATATATATATATATATATATATATATATATATATATATATATATATATGTATATATATATATGTATATATATATATATATATATATATATATATATATATATATATATATATATATATATATATATATATATATATATATATATATATATATGTATATATGTATATATATATGTATATATATATATATATATATATATATATATATATATATATATATATATATATATATATATATATATATATATATATATATATATATAGGTTTTAAATTTTTCAAAACATACTTGAGTAATAATATTGGCTATTTAATTCTTAAAAATTTATTTAATTTAAGTTATTCGATAAATGGTTCATAAAACCATGATTTTTGATTTCTCAACGTCAACACAAGTTGGCTTCGCAAAATCATAAATGTATTAGACAGACTTTTATTTTTAACAAAAAATATATAGTTGTATCCAGGGTGGGTGACAATAAAATAGGTAGGACCAGGAAAAAAATAAAAGAAGCAAATGAAAAGAAAAAAAAAATGTTTATAACATAACCTAATTATATTCATAACGTAACATAATTGGGGGGAAACTACGTGAAAAAAAGATGAGTGGGTTATGCACTAGCTCGGCAGCGTCGCGCAACTATTAGTATTTGAATGAGTACTAATAATTATTATATTGTAAGTATTAAATATTTATAATAATTAATACTATTGCTTTTATTTTGATTTATATCTTGCATTGATTTCTTGATTTTTAATTATTTTTTGTAAAACAAAAGTTTAGTAATTATTCAGTGATTCTTTCAAAATATTTTAGTTAAAAATATGTAAAAAGATATTTAAATAAAGATTTTTCGAAACTTGATTTAAAAATTCTAAAAATTTTTATTGACTAAGAGAATACTTTTTTTTTTTTTCAGAAACACTGATTAGGAGTTCTATAATAAATAAGTTTAAATAATAATCCTTCTTGTTTAATTTCTTCAGTCTTTGAATATAATTTACTAAGTTAAATTAACAAGTCAGGTATAGGTGATGTCTCGCATAATAAAAGTAATGCGACTCAGTGAAAACACTAATTTCCTTTAATTTAATTATAAAATTTTTTCGTTGCCAAATAGAAATTACAGATTAACTTGTAATTTTTCTTTGAAATTTGCGAGGCTTTTACTTTTAATGTATTGTGTAGCAACTTATCCTGGTTCACTGTTGCAATTTGCCCTGGTAAGGGGCAACATTTTTTTTTTCATTTTTGTTCCATTATTAAGGAACAACTAAGTTTTATATTTATTAATGTTGGTTTAATACGTCACTACGATCTATTTTATAACTCCCAGATTAAAAAAGAAAAAAGAAAGTCCAAGTTATAGGAAATGCTTTTTTTAAAATTTTGTTGCAGCTAGTCCCGATCTCCGCTAAATATGTTTTAATTGTTGCAATATTGTGTAGCTATGTTGTAATTTTTCATTTAAAGTTGTCATTTTACCTACTCCTAAAATTGGTATAAAACCTTAAAATGAAAATAATACTAAAAATTAAAATGAAAAATATACTAAAAATTTAAAAAATGCAAGAGTTTTTAGCAGAATTAATTAATATTTTTAATAAAAATATTTTAAAATATTAATTCTAATTGAAATTCATGCATTTTTAAAATGTTCAATATTGTTTTTATTTTGAGGGTTTATACCTAATTAATTCTCAATACAAATGTCGTAAATAAAATAGAGATACAAACTATTTTTACGTCATTTATTTAAGATGTTCGGTATCGTTTTTGAATCCAATTATTATTAATATTACTTATTAATTAATTAAAAAATATTCATTTACGCATATTTATGAATTAAGAATTTTTTTCATCTACTCATCGGTTTAAATTAAATTCATAATAGGGATTTATAATATTTTTAATTACACATACTTCTAATAGCTAGATGACTTTTTTAGTAAATTAAAAAAAGTTGCAGAAGTTATTTATAGTTTGCAACATTTATTAGCGACATTAGCCGCAACATTTGCATATATTTAAGTGTTTTGATTCCACGCTAAAAAAAACTTGCTAAACTTGTTTGATCACAACACAAATCAAGTCACCTTTAATATTGCTAAACCATTTTTTTGGTACCGATATAAAAAAAGTTAAAAAGCTTTTTAAAAAGGTTTGTAACTTTAAAAAGTCATTTATAAATGACGTTTTGAAGTCTATAAAAGTTTGTTCGCCAAACGACTTAAAAAACTAAAATCTTTATATACCAAAGTGTTTATGATAAAATTTTATTTTCAGATTCAAACAAATCTTAAAGATGTTATCTGATACACCTTAAGAAAACAACTTATGGAGAAGACCAGTATGGTCTTCTCCATAAGTTGTTTTCTTAAGGTGTATCAGATAAAGTTTAACAACTAAAGTTTAGCAAAGGCTCTAGAATTATCGAGAGAATAGCCTTGACATCTCCACATCTATAGAATTCACGATAAAACCTATCAGTTAATACTGTGGAAAAATCAGCTGTAGAACAAGAAGATCTAAATCCATATTGATGATCAGAAAGTAAGTTATTAGATTCAAGATAAGAAATTAAGCGTTTGTTAATTAAAGACTCAAAAAACTTGCTTACGATAGGAAGACCAATGAGACAGTTAAAAAAATCAGATTGCTCTCTAGATTTTTTGAAAATAAAAATAACAAATGCTGCTTTTCAACAGACTGGAAAACAAGACTCTGATAAGCACTTGTTAAATAGTTTTGAAAGTATAGACGAGAGTTCCGAAGAACTCTTCTGCAAGACTATAACAGGTATGTTGTGCGGACCACTAGCTCAAGAAGAGTCTAAGCAAGAAATAACTTTAGATACAGAAGGTGGAGTGATACAAACGTAAGGCAATGGATTAACCTGTTTGTCGGCTACATCAGGTAGAACGCGACTAGTGGAATCAAGAGATGATATTGATGAGAAGTTCTTAATAAAAAATTCAGCTTTGTCTTTAGGTGAGGTTAGAAAATCTGAACCATACAAGAGAGGTGGATTAACAGATTTGTTCTTAATATTGATACTGTTAAAGATTCTCCAGAAGTCACGAGAACCTAGTTTTTGAGATAAAATAGGAGGTTTTGTGACCAAAGAATAGCGGGATTTGACGTTAGACAAAAAGTTTTTATAATGGTTTTTAGCAATTGTAAACAGACGTCTGTTTTTTGGAGAATTGTGTTGCTGATAGATACAAAAGTAATAGGTACGATTGGAAATTGTAGCAAAATGAGAAGAAAATTATGGAGAAGAGTGAGGCTTAAGTTGAAGTCGTTGAAAGGGAAAAGATTCCATGCCAGCAGCTGGAAAACAACAATGCTGCTTTCAAGCAGGCTGGAAAACTAGACTCTGATATGCTCTTGTTAAATAGTTTTGAAAATATAGACAACCGCTCCAAGGAACTATTCTGCAAAACTATAACAGGTTGGTGGCCGGACCACAAGCTGTAGAAGAGTTTAAACAGGAAATCACTTTAGATACAGAAGCTGGAGTGATACGAACGTCAAGCAATGGATCAACCTGTTTTTCTGCTATACCAGGTATAATGTGATTGTTGAATTAAGAGATAAAATTGATGAAAAGTTCTTAACAAACAATTCAGTTTTGTTTTCAGGTAAGGTAGAAAAATCTGAGAGCAGCAAATACAGAAAAGCAAGAGAGAAGGAATAACATTTTTGCTTTTATTATAGACGCTGGTAAAGATTATTCAGAAGTCTCTGGAGTCTAATGTTCAATACTCCATAATATGTTCAAAACTCCATAATAGTATAAATTGTATTAATTTCATAGAAAGTCAATTTCCTAATAGATGATAAATTTAATTTTAAGTTTAAAAAACTCAAATTAATTAATTCATATTGAAAAGTACACAAAAAAATTATTTAATACTGAGAAAACAATTTTATTCTTTGAGATAATTCCACTTCATTGCTGGATTTGTTTCACGGATTTTTTTTTTTTTTTTTTTTTTTTTTTTTTTTTTTCAATGTTTATTTTAGGTGCCCCAAGAAGTCCTAACGGTCTTATCACAGAGTACCGCGGAAGAGCATTTAATAGGAAGTTAACGCCTCCTTCCCAACCGATGAATATCTCATTTATTTGCCGTATACAGGGTGGTCCTTTTCTGATTCAAGAAATTTATAACTTTTTAATAATTAAAGATTTTTGTAACAGTTGATTTTTATTTCAGGCATTGAATTTGGGAAAGAAAATATGATAAAGATTTAAACTTATATCCAAAATTATTAACAATTTTAATATTTTTGTCATGTCAAAATCTAGTTGATACAATCAAATTTGAAAACTATTGTCAACAAATAGTTTTAATCATTAATGAGAAATACTCATGGTATCAAATTCTTGCTTATGTTGATAAAGTTTTATCTCATAAAGCTCAAATTGTGATTGAATTAATTTTGCCAGTTTAAACTTTTTGCAAACATCACAGAAAAGATTTGGATCAAAAAACCTCAAGATATGACAACTTAACTGATATTTTTTTTCGAGGCTAAAGGCGAGTTTCCACTCATCCGTTTTTTCACGGGAACGGGAAAGGGACGGGAAAAATAATCACGTGGGCATGCGTAGTATAAGTTTTAATATGTCCGAAGGAAAACTACGCATGCTCACGTGATTATTTTTCCCATTCCTTTCCCGTTCCCGTGAAAAAACGGATGAGTGGAAACTCACCTTTAGAAACATCAAATTCTTATATTTCCAACATTGTTTTAAAAAAAAAACGTTCAAAGTCTGTATATATGTCAGCATTATCAGAAAGGGTGTTGCAACTTTTACTGATTGAAAATTCTACAATAAGTAAGGGTGAAGTAATGATTGGCTGAATTAACTGGTGTTTTTATTCAATTAGATTGCGTTGGTATAGAAGTCAATAACAATTTGTCCGATGGCAAATAAATGCATACCAATAACTAAATAATTAACTTTTAATTAAAATAATTCAAAACTATTACTATTATTAAGTAAATGATTGCTTCGATTTTGCATGTTTTTTCACATTCCGCACCAGTCCTCTTATACGACCCTTACCAAGACCCTGCCCTCGAGGAAAACCTGAATTTGAATTATTTGTATTAAAAAAAAGTTCATTTTTTCCAATTTTTATTTTTTAATCTAATAATTTTATTTCATTTATGTTTAGTGAGATATTAAAAAAAATAAATTTGAGCGTGATTATTATAACTGACTAAAAATGGCTGTTGTGTTTTATCACTGTGCTTTCGGATACGATTTTGTTGCAGCGGCGGATCACAAATTTTTTGGTGTTTTGATAACTTCTAGACACGGAGCTTACTCTAAACATTAATATGTTTATAATTTTATTAATTATAAAGATGTTTTGCAAAAAAAAAAATTTTTGACCCTAAAAAAAAACCCCAAATTTTTTTGCCCCTATCCGTACCCTAAACGTGACAGCAACAAGTTAATAAAACTTTTTTTTACTATTTTTAACTAAATTTATATAACAAATTATTTTCAATTTGTTATATAAATTTAGTTAAGAATAGTTAAAAAAAAATTTAAATTTATTTATATAACAATTATCTCAACTAAATTTTTTATTTCATAGTATAAACTATCAGCGTTCAAACATTATGACAATATAAAATTTTATATGACCATAATTCTTTAATGTCAAAAAATTATACAATGAAATTTAAAATTTATTGAAATATATCAAAACTATGAAATATTAATTTGTTTCAAACATTAAAAAATACTGGATTTGACCCTGCCTCGGTGTCGTTTCAGAATATAGGGCCGACGACACGAGTTTTGAAGTTCGGGGGGGGGGGGGGGGGAAGCGCAATCGTAATTTTTTAAAAAAAGTCTTCTATATCTAGAAATTTCTCAAAAAAAAAAGTCCTTTAGAAAAAAAGTAGGGGGGGGGGAGGAGTACCCCCACCACTTTTTTCTTTTTTTTTTTAGAACTCTTTGCGAGGCACATTTTTTAAAAAGTGTTGGACTTGAATTTATCTACATATTTTATTAAACTGTAATCTTTATCGTTACGAGTTGCTGTTAACTAGTTTATATAGCTAGCTAGTCGCTAGCTTTTACAACTAACTAGTCGCTAGCTTATCTGGCTAACAATTCTCGCGGCCAAATTGCTATCTTTGTTGTTACGAATGTCGCTAGGTAGTCGCTAGCTAATTTCCTACCGGGATTCTTTTAGGCAATAGTTCGAAGATTCTAGCTCCAAATGTGCCCTCTGGCTTATGTATAAAAAATGTAAGGATTGCTTTTACGAAAGTTTCGCCGTAATCTACGATTTCTGTTTCTTTGTTAAAATTATATGGGACCATTTTCTTTTCAGCTTGCTGAAATAGTATTATTTCTAATATCTGATTTATTTGTGGCTTTTATGAAACTTTTGTAACTTATGGAACTTTGATTCGTACGACTACTTGATTACAAAGACGTCTACTAAAACAATAGATAAATGGATTAAGTAAGGAAGAAAATGATTTAAACTCTTTATTTTATATTAAAAAAAAAATCTTTTATAAAAATCTAACAACAAAATACGAAATTTAATTTCTAATTTTTATTCATGTTTTTACATAAACGCACTTATTGCACTTAAACGCACACATATATTTTTATAAAAGAGATTTTGTTATTTAAATATAAAATCAAGAGTTTAAATTCTCCCTTACTTAATATTAAGAGTTTGTAAATGAAATTGTTTGATTATTATTACTAAACTGACATGAATAAAATACAAGAATTTATGCGGTAACCGCGTACTTTTGCGTGCTTAATACGCAGGAAGGGACGCTTATTATAATTTGGAAATTTTCCACCCACCCTTATTAAGGCCTCACCCCCTCCTTTCCGGTTTTTTTAATTTTAATTGTTATTGAAAACAAAATCGTCAGCCTAAAAAAATCTCCTAAATCTTGATTTGTCCAAAATGAACTTTTGGTTTATTCCTTACCATGGTATAAAGCTTATATAAGTATTTTATCATGTGTCATGCGGGGGGAAGGTGGGTTGGAGGAGGGGTTTGCTATTACAATTTTTGCCAAAAAAAAAAAGTGGGAGGCTCCATAAGCGCAAATTGGCATATGTGCGCACTGGCATAAGTGCGAAGCGTTGCAAAAACTGGCATAAGTGCAAACTGGCATATGTGCGAAATGGTATAAGTGCGCCAAAAGATTTTGAAAACATTGGCATAAGTGCAAACTGGCATAAGTGCGAACTGGCATAAGTGCGAACTGGCATAAGTGCGCCGAACAAATTTGAAAACACTTATGCCAGGTCGCAATTATGCCAATTCGCACTTATGCCAATATTTGCAAAATCTTTTGGCGCACTTATGCTAATTCGCAATTATGCCAGTTTGCACTTGTGCCAGTGTTTTCAACTACTTCGCACTTATGCACACACACACACACACACACACACACACACACACACACACACACACACACACACGTTCTCTTCGTGCCGGCCTCACCTATAGTTAAATTACAGGTAAAAATAACAAACCTTTTCATTATATGATCTATAAATTCAAGCGAAATCTTTACAAAAAAATATCAAAACAAAATTGTAAGTGAGACAAAATTTCCGAAATTTAAATACTTAAAATAATAGTGAAAACTAAGTGTAGGGAATAGAGATCACAAGTAATCTATAGTTCGATCTATATATGATATACAGTTTTACCTACAAATCTAGAAAATTCGTTTCACTTTGCAGTATTCATTCTTGCAAACTAAATATCACTTTTTTTTACAAAAATATCATTTTTGACGTCTAAGTTTTATTAATAATAAGTTCTTATTAAAAAGCGCTCACGTATGAAATTTGACATTTTTAAACAGATGAGCTATTTCTGACTAACTAAAATGCATTAATTAAAAAAAAAAGTCAGAGTTTTGTGGGTGCACTTTTTAAAAAAATTGTACTTTTTAAAAAAAGTAGTAAGAAAAGCGAAATTATCGGTTTACTTTTATAAATTATTCAGAAAAATGACGCTAAAAGTTATGGCTCGCGTAGGTTTTTGTTTACTCGCGGCACCTCAGATCTTTAAACGTCCATCTATTAATACGTCCTTCATTCGACGTAAAACTCTTAAGTTATATTTCTTCATAAACATTTTATTCTAAATAAACATTTTAATTTTAATTGCATTTCCGCATTTGTTTTTTTGCCTTATTAAAACTAAAAAAAAAATATTAATAATAAGTTAATAGAATGCTTGTACCAGCCTCATATATTTCAATAAAATTGTAAAACTTTATCAAACTGTATTAAAGCTAATCAAAACTGTATTAAACTTAATCAAACTGTAAAAATGAATCAAAGTTTTTTTTTTCAGAATCTGAAAAGAAATCATCTGACAAATGCTATGCTTATGCATTGTTATATTCAAATATGTGCTTTCACTAAATTTGTTTAAAAAGTTAATTTGTTTAAACCAAATTATTTTGTATTTAAAAAAGCAAAGCTTGTAAAAAAAAAAAAAACTTAAATTGTAGATTTTTTCCCATTCTGCTTTTTAAAAAAAAGTTAATGTTTTTCTGAATGTGTAACTTATATGTATTTGTTGTTCTTTCTTTTTTCTTTTATTTGAATATTTCGAGTTCCAAATTAATTTTTAGATGGAGAATAATCGGCCAAGAATTAAAAACAAACGGATACTATGTGAAAGAATTGAAAAATTTATTTCATCTATTTATTTTTCAGATGTTAATTTGTATAGTCAGTATGAATTTTTAAATATTTTTATATTTATAAACACTTGCATGCGTATGTGTATATATGTGTGTGTGTGTTTGTTTGTGTGTGTGTGTGTGTGCATGTGTATGTGTGTGTGTGTGTGTGTGTGTGTCTGTGTGAGTGAGTGTGTGTGTCTACACACACACACGCACTTACACAGATATTATTTCTGTTTTTTAGACTATACACTGAGGTTCAACAAGTTAAAGATATCTGGCATTACAATGCTCCATCAAGAATATCTTTTAATGAAGCTTCAAGTGAAAATGTTTTGTATGAAAAAACAAGAATTGGAGAATGTTTTGGCACCACGTGTGTAATTTTTTATATTTAAAACTTATTATTTAATAAATAAAGTCCTAATATCGCAATAGTATTATAATAGTAGAAGTAAATATTAGTTTATATTAGTTTTAATCAATTTTCAGTCTGTACCTACAAAGATTTTTGTTTTGGAATTTTTAGTGTCTGACCGGGGTTTTAAATATTACAATTACTAGTGAAACTTTGTAGAACTAAATTTTTTTCTTAAATAAATTTCAAATTAAAATTTTTTCGTGAATAAATCTCAATTTATCTATATTTTGCTGAGGTCTATTCATAAATAATTTTCTATTTATTTACAGTTTCTGACATCTATGCCTAAAGAAATCTTAATACATCTACACTTTCCTAATCTTTAGGAAAAATTAATCATTGTATACAAAATTTAATAAAATAAATATCTTTTTACTATTTACAGTATTGAAATAAAAAATTTAATCATTGTATACAAAATTTTAATAAAATAAATATCTTTTTTACTATTTACATGGATAAGAACTTTGATTAAAAGATGCAATCAATTATTTATGAAGATAATTACTTAAACTTAAGTACCTTAACCTATGATGGATCCTAAAGTTAAAGTTTAAACTTTGTTGGGTTACAATCTTTTGCATGTATAATTATAAGATTACACAAAAATCATCCTTATACTAATATTGGGATTTTTAAATTATTGATTTTGAAAAAAATGTGAAGCTAAAACTCAAATAGGTTGAGTCTGAAATAAAATGCATTTTATTGTATTGTATTTTGTAAAATTTGTAGGTGAAAATGCGCACAACTTTTATTTATTTATCAACTGAGGGTTGGTGCCAGAAATTGGCACTCCTCCAACCATTTCCAACACTTGCTAGAAAAAGGCAACCCACTATTGTTTAATATTTATGAAAAAAGAAAAAGCACCAGTGTCTAGATGTTACTAAGTACCTTGAAGTATGATAACTACAGTTTAGAGGTCATCAGAGATTTTAAAATAGTGTCATTACTCATAGTCCTTCAATATGGTTTCACAAAATTTTTTGTGTTACCTTTACCTCTGGGGCAGCTGTAACACTAATACTTGTAATACTAATACACAGAAAGGGTTGGAAACGATGCACCAAGTTCTCTGTGGACATAAACAATGTAAAGTTTAAAGACATTTAGATAGAACCTCATAAAGTGCAAATGCTGCTTTTGCACATCAAGTTAGACCTTATCAAGGAATGCATAGCTGCTTTTGCCATGAATAAAGCACCTTTAAAGAACCCCCAAGATCTTAATTCTGAAGCTGTCTGAGGTTAAAGTTTGAGTTGGTCTCTTCATAGGACTACAAATTAAGAAGATCATAGAATATGATACGTTCACCAAGCTTCTAGAACATAGAGAGCAATTTGGAACATTTTTGTTGCCCTTTCTTCATGGCTTCTCAGGTAATTACAAGGGTAAAAACTATTTGGATTAAGTTCAGATTCTTATAAAGAATTATGCTTAAATATCCTGGTTTTTTTAACTTTTTTCTTAATTAAAAAGTTAAGATTCGAACTATGAATGAAATAAAATTGTACTCTTTTTTTACATAATTTTAAAGATGTTTATATTTGGCATAGTTCACCTATCCTGGAAAAAAGCTAAAAAAAAACACAAATTTCTTTTATTTTTGTTCATTTTGTATCGTTGAGATTTCTTTTATTTTTAATTTAGCATTTGTTTGACATGATGAAACAGGCTAAAATGAAAATAATGTTAGCAGTTGTGTAAATTTTTATTTATTGCTAGCTTGTATTTAGGCTTTCATAAGTTGGATACAAATGAGAATCTGAATAGGTTTATTATTTCTTTTATATAAGTTTTTTCTTGAAATTGTAGTGAAGTTGAGCACTAGTATATTAAAAAGTTTAAACAAAACTAATTGCATTTTAAAAAACATAGTTTAAAGTGTGTTTAAAAAATAAAGTTACATTTATTATTATAAAACTAATTACATTTATTAAAAAGTGAAAATGTATACCTTTTACTTTATTTTTATGTTTGGTAATGAACCAGTGAATGTTTCATTTAAAAAAAATTTGTTTCCTAACTTTACTTGATTTATTCCAATTTTTAAACCCTATAATATTTTGTTGTTATTTGAAACATTTGCAATAAATTCCTTGTTGCTTTTTATATGTAGTAATATGACATTTGTTATTCAACTATTTGCCCATTTAATAATTTCCTAGATTTCCTAGATCTGTTTAAAAGGCCTTGGTACTCTAAGTTCTAAATTTTTTTACAAAAAGTTACAAGGTATCCTAAAAAAGATACATTGTATTTTTTATAAGTTCTTTTTTCACTCTTTATTTATTTTTATTTATTTCCTTTTCTAAACACACAAAATGCTAACTAATTTATAATAAATTTTTAAAATAAAACATAATTTATAATATATAAATTTAAAATAAAACATAATTTTTAATAAATTAATTTAATTTTATTTCAAAGAGCGGTGTAAAAATTGGGATAAGCCAAAAATAAAAATAAATAAAGAAAACAAATTTAAATTAAGTAGTTTTAAGTCAATAGAGTTAAAGTTATTTAATTTAAATTTTGTTTTTATGTTTTAGTCATTAACAACAAAATCCTTATAAAAATCCAATTTAAATGTATAATTACTATTTATATATATACATTACTTTACAACAGATTTGAAAGACTATGTAAAATGGCCTTAAATAGAGTGTTTGTCGTTTATCTCAAGAACCAATTTGAATTTAAGTCCAAATTTTTCCTGGATAATTTATTCATTGAGTTTCTTAACTGGTAAAGTTAAAAAAAATAAAATATTATGTTTAAAACTACTTTAAAAAAAAAATATTGAAAATGTTTAAAACTACTTTATTTTAATAGCAAAAAATAATCAAAAAAAAATTTTTTTTTTGATTATTTTTTGCTATTAAAATATAACTGCATTAATAATCAAAAAAAATTTTTTTTTTCAATTTTCCTTTCAACATAAGTTTATTTTATCATTCATCAGTACTTATACTAATGTATAACAACATTAATTGTTTACTTAGTGTAAATAATCAGGTGTACAGAATATAAAAAATTACAGAAAAAATATCTTTTAACTAATTTTAAGGGATTTCAAAGTAACAACTCAGTGTTTAACTGAATGAATGCAGCAAGTAATTATATTTTTTTAGTAATTATATAGTTAGATAAAATAGAAAGATAAAACCTAAAAATTTTTAAAAAACATTTTGAATTTATAAAAATTTCAATGTAAATCTTGTTATATTTTTTCTCATTATCACTTTTATATTTTTACATTTTTTCATAGCTGGTCAACTCATTGGTTTAAATTTGAGATTGATTTGAGTTTGCAAAACTCTTGGAAAGGACACGAAATACGACTGCGATGGAATAGTGGGTCTGAAGCAATGGTTTGTTCATTAGTTGCATTAGTTTATTATTTTGATATATTAATTAACATATTAATAAGTATTACTTTATATGTTTATATTTGCTGTTGTTTGCATTGCAAATGAAAAGTCAGAATGTATGTTAATATTTCATTATCTTAAATGGAACTCTTATCTGATAAATCTGTTTTGTCTGATGATGTGCAAATTATGACCAACTACATAACTAAGTTTATTATCAATTCAATTTTCTCCACTTGACAAATACTATTAATATTTTTTTTTGTTTAAACTTTAATTTCTTATTTTACTTTTGACCTCAGTACTTAGTTTTTAAACTTAGTTTAATCAAAATTTAAAATTAAAAAAAAATTTCTACTGATATAGGTCTGCATTGTTCTCTTATATTTTCCAGACTTTTTTTTAAATTCAGCTTTCAGACAGTTTTTCAAACAAAGTAGAAGAAGCAAAAGAAAAGAAATAAAATTTTTTGTTGTTGTAATAAATGCCCTTCATAGATTGATATTGTCTACTCAAATCTAAACTTCAAGTTGACATATATGTTTTCTTTTATTTCTTAGTTACATTATTTCAAGAACAACTTTCTTTGATTTAAAGGTTGGAAGTTCTTTCCTAAGTATGATTCTTGTTCTAACAAATCCATCTCTTCTTTCTTTGCAATAAACAATGGTAGATGCATCCTTAATGGTTTTGACGCAAAATTCTGTTGCTTGAGTGTGAATGATGAATTTAGGAATTTTTAATGGATTTTTAATGAACTTGTAGATCTCCACTTTAGAAAGATTACATGTTGGAATCTAAAAAATTGATTTATAAAAATCTTTTAAATTCTAAGAAATTAACTTAAATTAAGAAATTAAATTAAAGTCTTCAAAGATATTTGAAGTCTTTGAAGATAGTCAAAGTCTTCAAAGATATTCGAAGTCTTCGAAAATGTTCGAAGTCTTCAAAGATATTTGGAGTCTTTGAAGATATTTGAAGTCTTCAAAGATATTCTTTTTTAAACAGCTATGTCTCCAAGCTCATTATCTCTTCTAATTTTTAAAATCTTATCAACACCAAACTTTCTTTTAATTTTGTTAGAGCTAGGTAATAGTGAAATTAGAATACACTCGCTACGGCTATACCATCCGGCTATACAACTCCAGTTTGTATATATGGTGTTATAATATTCACTTCATTGGCTGGGAGTGTCTTTTGTTTTTATAAAATAGTTTTTATGCCTATAATTTTATATAATGTATTTTTATTTCTATAATTTTAAGTTCAAGCAAAATGTGCCTTTGTCTGTCCTCAAGCAGATATTCGGTAGCAATTTCAAAATCAAGTTTGAAATACATTTTGACACAAAATTCAACTAATATCTTTAAGATTTCCAGCTCACTATATTTAAGGTTATGATTTCTTGTCCATAAAAATATCAAAGCCATACCTGTTGTAAGCCAGTGAGAATGAAATTGTGATTGACATTTGAGATTTGCAAGGTTCGTAGAAAATTTTCCTGACTTGGTAGCATTTACATCTATAACTAATATAAGCATCAGTAGATTAGCTTTTTATGCCTTTCTCATCATGTTTTGGGAGTTCCTTTCCATCTGGCAGGGGTGTAAAATTATAATTTATTGTCATATCATTTACATACTTATGATTTTTGCAAAATAACCCTGTAAATCCATCAATGCTATATAAGTCTTACTCAATTATGTGCTTCATGCAAGTCGCTCAATATCGTTAATATCATTTATAACCTAACATTTTCTCAAGATGGGCATGTATAACCCCCTGACCATCCTGTGTTGAATCTCTACCTATTACTACTCATGATTCAGTTTTGATTCATTATTTTTATACAGCATTATCATAGAGTGCTTTAGCCATCTTTTTTGCAGGTTTTTTTCAGATTAATAGCATGTTCTAGTGTGATGTGAGCAAGATAAAATGCAGTTGGATCCCAAGTTACACTTATATGCTCCTCTTTTATGACTTTAGGGTGTAGTTGTCCTTATTTATCTGGAAATAATGTTTTGGTTTTGTCTTTTCTTCCATCATATGCAATTCCAACTATATTTTTATTACTACATTTATGAGCTTCAGTTATTGTATTTTACTTTATTACATTATTCTTACCTCTTTGCATTTTATTTGGGTTGACAGACAGATATGACATATCAGGAGAAAGATGACCTACAGCTATAAAGTCTTTTATTATACCAGTGATTATAGTTGCTGCACCAACATTAGAGATATTGTATCTTATCTAAGAGACTATCAAAATCAATAATTATTTTATTGGTCGGTTTTATTTTATTTTGATGTGTCGTTGTGATTTCAAGTGACACATGAAAAAGTATTTTGCCAAATTTTTATATTTTGATTAATGAATATTAGCGGCAAAAATATTAGCGGAAGTTAACAGCTAACTACTGTCTTTTAAGTTGTTAAATAGTTAACCAGAACTTTAATAGAGTTAATTAGCGATAAACAGAATAGTGGCATTATGCCCAACCCTTGATGTATAATTACTCATTGTTTTTATTTTTTTGTATAATTACTTTCTTCCTTGATGTATCCTTGATGTATAATTACTCATTGTACTTTTGTTAAAAATAACAAAAGATACAATGAGTTAAGATAGACATATTTAATTTTTTTTGAGATAAAAGTCTTTTTCAAGTTTCTGGTATATAAGCTGAATAAAATTGTACTACATTTTTAATATCTCACCTTAACAAAATTAACATGTATTTAGGCTATTTAACAATATTAAAATAATTAAGTAGATAAAACATCTATTACAAAGTTAAAAACATAATTTTGTCACATTTTATCACATATATATACTATGCATACTATGTATGTATACTCAAAGCAACTAAGGCCTGGTACACGTTTTTACGAACAAAAATATAAGTTTTTTCAATTACAATATATATAAGTTTTTTCATCAAAAAGTATGACATTTGGTATGTATGGAAAAATTATTTTAACCACTATTATAATCTGGTAAAAGTAATGCGACTATAACAAATCGTCAAGCTTAGTTTTATTTAGAAAAAACGCAATTTTTAACATAAAGTACTTTGGGGCTTGGCTATAGATAAGTCTATGAATTTGATTTTTTCATAAAAGCACGTATTGGTCCTTGTTTTTAATGAATGTAACTTGACATTTATAATCAGACATTATTTGGGATCATTATCCATAAAAAACCATTTTTTTATGAAAATTGAAGTTACTATTTTCAATACCACACCTAAATATGTTAGTATCAGTATGTTTAACAACAATGTCTTGTTAGATTTAGATAACCTATGGTAGTGTTGATTTTTCTACCAAAGTTGTTTTTGCATAAATAATCATAACTTTTAGCCCCATTTAACTGTTTTTGTTATTTTGTATTATTTTTTGAAATACTCAGGACTTATTTGGCCATCTTGAAATAATAAATTATAGCGTAAACATTTAAAAAACAGATGCAGTTAACTTTATAAATAAATTACTTTCAATTCGAATTCTTTGTTTGCATAAATTAAATACCATTAAATAAATTTTTTTTCGGTTTCCCACTAACAACCAATCGGATTTGTTTTAAATTATCGGCTTTTTTTTTTACAAGTTTGTTTGTTCTATGCCTTAATTATTTTGAGTAGTATAAACATTTTCAAAAAAAAGGGTAATTTTTTACAATAAACAATAAAATGCACAACTAAAAGTGTTAATTGCACTACCAAAATATTTTCAAACCAAACAAAACAAAAAAGAAACTCAAATTAAAATTTAATTTTTCATAGGAATACGAGTATGTTAAATTACTTTATTTAAAATTATTTTTATGTTCTAATCTAATGGTGGGTGTTATATTTTGCCAAAAATATTTTTCTCTTAATGTATATCATGTTGAACCTCAAAAGTATACAATCTTTTTTAAATGTAACCTTCTTAACAAAGGTTTTGTTTAAAAAAACGTCTTTAAAAGTGCTTTTTTTCAATTTTTGTTAAAAAATATTATTTTTTTTACAATAAATTTTATAACTGAATTTTATTTAAAAGTTTTATTTTTATAAAACTACGATACTTTTGAGACCCATCTTGATATACTTTTAGTGAGAAATTATTTTGGTAATATATGGCACCCACCATGTTGTTGTGCATTTTGGCATGGAAACTTTTTTTTGAATTGAAGGAAATAATTGTTATTTTCCTAATCAGTTCATTAATTCCTACTACAGGTTTCATTCTACTACAGGCTAAAAAATTATTTTTTTATCATTACCCTAATATATATATATATATATATATATATATATATATATATATATATATATATATATATATATATATATATATATATATATATATATATATATATACAGTGGTTTTCATAAATTTAGACGCACTCATATTTGAGAATAGAAATTTTTAGTTTTTCAACGATAAAACAATGACGAAAAAAGATTTTGGTTTAGTTTTTTTTCTATTTATTAGATAAATACATACAGAATACAAAATTTAAAAAAAGTTTACAAAAAAAATAAAATACTAAGTAATAATTAGGTACAACTAAATGGTATTAAAAAAATTAGACAAAAAAAATTATTCATAAATTTAGACGCACGATACATTAGAAGGCATAATTTATAAACCAATCAATACTTTGTGTATCCGCCTTTTGCTTTAATACAACTAAGAACTCTTCTAGGCATAGACTCAACAAAATTTTTGCACATCGTTTCTGGTACCCCATACCAGGTCTCCTTAAGGAATTCCTTCAGTTGAGTAAGTGTGGAAATTTGAACCTCTGCTAATTCACAGTCAATCCAAACCCAAATTTTTTCAATCGGGTTTAAATCAGGTGAGTATGGAGGCCACGGTATTGTCATGATACTATTATCGTTGAACCACTCCTTTGTATAGTATGCAGTATGTGCAGTAGTGCCATCTTGCTGAAGTTTCCATGGTTTATCATTGAGCATAAGCAGGTCAATGGATGGAATTAAGTTGTTTTCCAGTACTTCTATGTATATTCTGGAGTTGATTCTTCCGGTGTATGTTTGGCACATACCAACACCTTTATAATTTAAGCATGACCAGTTTCCTATCGAGCCTCCTCCACTTTGTACAGTCGGTCTAATGTACCTGGCGTAATACTTTTCATGAGCCATTCTTTTGACTGTTATGTTAGATTTGCGATTGATAAGCTCAAAGTTACTCTCATCACTCCACATAATGTTTTCCTATTGCTCTATTGTTCAATACCATCTTTTACCACACCATTTTAGTCTCCTTTGTTTATCATATGGACGCAGAAGTGGTTTCTTCAAAGCAGTGTAGACTCCAATCTTGTATTTGATAAGTATTCGGCGGACTGTGCTTTGAGAAATAGATGTATTTCGCGTTGTATTGAATTCTGTGGTTGAATCTTTGTAACTAATTCTTGGATTAGCTCTGACAGCTCTAAAATGAACACTATCGTCCTTTCTGGTGGTTGACAAGGGTCTACCTGGCCTCGTTTTCTCGCTGGCACCACCAGTGTGAAGAAAGTTTTGTTTTGTTGTCCGAACGCATTTCTCAGAAACTCCAATTAACTTGGCGATTTTTCTATTACTTTTGGTTCCTTCTTTGATGTGCGCAATAATTTGCCATCTTTCACCTTGAGTGATACGTCTTTTGCCCATTTTTCACGTCTTTTTAGTGCAAAACTAACTTAACTTTTGTTTATTTATTAAATAATGATTAACTAATTCCAGGTAAGTCATATTTATATAAGGTTTTTTGACAAAATCAACTACTTTAGGCCTATTAATGAGAAATATGGGGAAAAAACTACTAATTAACTATCGATTAACAAGATATAAGACTTTTTTGATTGTGCGTCTAAATTTATGAACAAAATAAAATCAAACTTATCAATTAACTTTTTTGTGTTAATCGGTATAGAATGAGTAATAAACATCCTGTAAAAAAAATTAAGATACTCTTTAATAGAGTTTCACTTCCTCTTGTAAATTATATATCAAACATAGCGGTAGTACTTTTATTTTATTTTTATTTTTAGTATTTTCCTACATAAATGAAAAAAAAATTAATGCGTCTAAATTTATGAAAGCTACTGTATATATATATATATATATATATATATATATATAAATATATATATATATATATATATATATATATATATATATATATATATATATATATATATATATACATATATATATATATATATATATACTTACTAAAGCGTGTTTTGATAAGCATTTGCTCACTTTTTCTGCTTACCTTAAGCTATACCGTTTTTTTCAAAAAAGAAGAAGAAAAAACGAAGAATTATGAATGAAATGATTGCTTCCCCATGCCAAACCCTCAGTTGATGTAGCAGCACTCCACTGCGAGTCAGGCTATTTGTCAGTCGATGTATTTCAGTATAACGTCAGATTGCTTACCTTAGTACGCAATACTATTTGTATATATATATATATATATATATATATATATATATATATATATATATATATATATATATATATATATATATATATATATATATATATATACAAATAGTATATATATATATATATATATATATATATATATATATATATATATATATACATATATATATATATATATATATATATATATATATATATATTTATATATATATATATATATATATATATATATATATATATATATATATATATATATATATATATATATATATATATATATATATATATATATATATATATATATATATATATATCAAAACATAACAAACATATATGTTACTAAACTGATTACAGTCAGAACTTAATATTTTCTAATATTAGTCTTTTTTCTGCTTGTTGAATGCTAATTTCTGTGGCTTTTACAAAAAATTGCAGATACTGTTTCAAATCCTTATCTGGGATAGGCATGCGAAGTCTTTATTTAGTTTATCATTGATAAATCTGTTCAGGCATTGGACTTCAGAGAAATTGTGCCAGCCCTTCAAAAATCATATAATATAAATAAATAAACTTTGTTTATATTTATGTTATATGATTTCTGAATATTCAAAATGCATATTATGCATATAAATATAAAGCATGTATATATAAGTTATAAAAGCAGGTTAAAATCATACCTGCAGCTAACCTTTATCAAATTAGTCTTTTTTATTCCAAATTAGATGTTGAGAAAACCATCCAATTTTGAGATCCATCAAAACTAGATAGTCATCTGATTTTAAAACCATTTCAATCAGCCATTTTCTTCCAACATCAGAAATTATGAAAAGCACATCTGATCTGTCCACATATCACAGTATGTTCAGAAGTAATGATTCTTTATATTGCAGATTCCAACTCTTTTTGCTGCCTTTTAATTTCTTATGCGTACCTTCTGTCATTGATATTTTATTCAGTTTTTCTTTTTTTCCTTTTTTTCTCTCCCCTCTCCCTCCCCCCCTCCACCTCTTAAAAAATGAAATATCAACAATTCTCTCATCCTATGCAATTTTTTCATAGCAGCTTTCTTCAAAATTTACAAAAATTATTAAATATAAAGAAAAGATTCTTCAGCAATCAAAAACTATTTGCTGTTATATAAATGATTAAAAACAAAAATGTTTTTTTTACAGTTAATGTTTTTAACCTGATATAATTATCTGAAATGTGAGAAAAACTAAATTGTTTTTAAGCTGGCTGTTCTTTTATCCTACCCCATTTTATTTCATCATGGTTATTGAAATAAATGGTTTCATCATGGTTATTAAAATAAATCGAAAACATTAAAAAAATAAATTGAAAACATTAAAAAAATAAACTTATCATCTTGGTTTTCAAAATAAATTAAAAAAGTTAAAAAAATAAATTTAGAATAGTTGAATTTTTTTGAAAATTTGATTTTAAAATTTAGTACAATTTAGTAGAAGTCTTTTTTCATTTGTTTTAAAGTTGAAATAGTGGCCATTGTAAAAATGACATGATTCATTTGATTATTTTTTATTTAACAATAAGTCCCTTGGTTTTTAGATCCATTAGTTATATAAGTCAACAAATTAATTCTTTATTTTTTTGTTTCATTATCATACATCTACTCATTAATTAAGTCATTCGATTTTTACCTAATCGTGTATAATTATTCATTTAATTTAGTTTGATATCATTTTATTTACTCCTTTCATAATTTTTTAAATAAAAGTTATTATTATAGAAAGTTTTTGTTAAGTAGAAGTTTATTTAACTTTTTGTAATTTGGAAATTACAGATTTGGATGGATGGAAAACCAATACAAGTAAGCACATTTTAATTTGATTGTCTTCTACTATTTTTCTATAACTTTGAATTTAAATTACTGACCAAGACTATTTAATCTAAAATTCATTGAAATGAGTTTCACATTTTTATTACTAATTATTTAGCACAGCAGACAAAAATATGTAATGTATTTAAAGTTACATAAAAGTTTACGTAAAGTAAAAAATATTATTCACTTATATTTTATATTAGTATGTCTATTTTTACATAGCACTATTTTAAATAAAATATTTCAAAATCCTATTTATTTAGGGGCTCACTGGTGGTGATGGACAATTAAGAACTGACTTTATTTTGACAGAAAATTGTAATGGTGAGGAAAAGTAAGTACAATTAATTATCATAAAGACTAAAACATAAATTAGTGAAATATTAAGTAGTCATTTTGAATTATTTTATGTATTTCAAAACTAAGAGAAAATAGTTTAAACATGCTATATTAAGCATATGTGTTGCAAAGCAAATTTCTGTTCAATTTAACATGCAGTTTACATAATTAGAGATAAGTCTTATTTTTTAAAAAGGTTTCTGGAACAAGATGGATTTCATATAAAGTTAAAGCTATGAAGTCTTTCCCTGATAAATGGGGGTTGTATGTTTGTCCAATTAAACAATTAGCTAAAGATCCATTGATTTAAACTCTTAGCAAAGGTAAAATAAATGGGTATCTTATATAATGGAAAAAGGGAAAATGTATGTAACCTGATGTATATAAACGCATTCATTATGCTCTGGTTATGTTTTTTCAGACATCTTATATCAATGAAAATAAACTCTAACTTATGCTCAAGAGTTTTTATCCCAGGCTAAAATACCACATTACTATGGTAACCCATACTTACATTAGGCAGTCATAGAGCTCCAAAGTAAATCATGGAAGTCTATTTGAACAGTTTTTAAAAAGTAAATCACAAAACTCTATTTTAAAAGTTTTTAAAAAGTAAATCATGGAAGTCTATTTTAACAGTTTTTAAAAAGTAAATCATGGAACTCTATTTTAACAGTTTTTAAAAAGTAAATCATGAAACTCTATTTTAACAGGTTGAGCTGTTTTTTTTTTTTTTGCTAATTTGCTTAACTGGAATGAATGTTTTCTAAGGCAAAAAAGTGTGAAAGTAAAGTATTCTTCCACGTTGACAGATGGGAAGATGGATTCCTTAAATCTTTTTTTAATGATAATTTAAAAAAACAAAAAACATTTAAACCTGATGTATTTTTTTGTTAAAATTCTTTAATTGGTTTTTTTTTGTTTACATATTTTTCCTAAAGTTTTATGACAAACATAAATGTTAATATGTCTTATTTTTATAATTCAATATATTAATGTCAAGAAAAGTTGTTTTAATGTTTTTTTAATCAGTAGACACCCATTTAAATATTAAATATCGTTCAACATAAATAATTGATAACAATACTCCTAAGTTTACTTAAGAGTATTGGTATCATCTATTATTAATAATAAATCAGAAAAAATGATTTTAAAACAAATATGGAATAAGTAAATATTTTTGTTGAGTTTTTTTGGTCATGTCAGACAAACCAAAGTATTTCTCGGAAAAACTGTCTGAGAAATTTTTTTGGTTTGTCACACACACAACTATATGTGTGTGTGTATATATGTTTATATATATACATATATAAATGCTGTTGCGTTAATATGTTTTAGGTACCTTATATATATTGAAATGTCAGCAAGTGGTATGTTTGGAGCTGGTAAAGGTGGGATGATCAACTCTCCTGATCCTAACAAATTTTTTACTTTATCTCAACTGGAAATTGTATGCTTTAATAGAAGAATTTATGAAATTATTAGGGATTTAAAAATACTGGTTGAAGTTTCACAGGTTTTTATACTTTTATTTTAACTTAGATAAAGTGATGTTTTTATTGATTTATTGAATAAAAATATTTTTTTCAATATTTATATTTATTTATTACTTATAATTAATAATTTTTTGATAAATCAAGATATCACATTACCTGCTTTTTTTGTGCATGTAATCAATCATATGCGTGATTAAACACATTTTATGCTGTCAAAAATCAGAACTAAGTGCCATATATGTATAGTTTGAAAATTAAAACATAAAGTTCTTTTTAATGTATTTATGCAGTATTTATTGTTTGACAACAGATGAAACACTTCTCTTTGTTCTCTATCACCTGTATGTAAAAAAATTCAAAAATACATTTGACCAAACTTTAATTCTGATCTTGAAATTTGTCCATTAGTAGTTTTTACTAATTGCAGAAGTGAATATTTATTCTAAACAATGGGGAAGCTCTAAAAATTTCCAACTAGTTAGATAGTATAGTATAGAGCTCAAAGCATTATTATAGATAACAGTGAATCATTGGAGATAACAGTAAATCATTGAGATAACAGTGAATCATTAGAGATAACAGTGAATCATTGGAGATTACAGTGAATTATTGGAGGTAACAGTGAATCATTGGAGATTAGAAATCAGAACAAGTAGCATTTAAATAGTTAAAATGTAAAATGGAACATAAAAACATTGTAAGCAGAGAGCAGTTCATGTCGTTTACAAGTGGAGTTCTTCTCTTTGTATAAATTAGATTAAATGAAACTAAATTGAAAAGAAAGTAAATCGGATCTTTTAAAACATTATGGAGCTATCAAATGTATTAGAACACTCTATGTTCAAGAATCAAGTATTATTATTAAGTGACTGGTTTGCAGGAAACTCTAGATACTTTATATTAATGTAAAACACAGGAAAGAAACATTGGTAAGGTAGTTGTTAGAGATATAGTTTATGTCAAGAATACAACAGAATTTATAAACTTTATAATTGAAGAAATAGATAAAATTGTAATGTAATAATAAGAATATCTATAGTTATCATTAACGTTTTTGATCTGAAAAATTATTATTCTTCATCTGAAATATGTAAAGATTCTGGTGTGAAATGTTGTTATATTTTTTTCATTGTGGAGATAATGGCAATCTCTAAAAATTATTAACACATCTTTAATTTGAATAAGTTAATTATTTTTTTAAATAAATTCACCTACCCAAGGCTTTAGAGGAGACCACTATGTGAAGGAAGTTACTCATTTTTTTTTTTTTATTTAAATGTTTTTTTATTTTTATTCTTTTTATTTATTTTTAATTTTTTTTTTTTTTAATTTTTGATTTTATTTGAAACTCTCAACCCTAAACTCTGAAAAACAAAATTAAATAAGGTGGCTGTGTAGAAAAGCAGGTTAAAGGTGGGTTTGAACCTTGAACCTCTTGATTGTGAGCCAAAAGTTCTACCGCTAATCCATTAGCCCATTAGGTTATAGTCTGGCTAAAGTTTGAAAACATTGTTTTTTGACTTTCACAGTTTCTCTGGCAAGTATGTCTACTTGTATTATTATTGTTTAAGCTTGTAGAGTCACCATCAAGCTTGAATTGTTTACGCAATTCACACTTGATGGATTGTGTAAGCAATCCATCAAGTGTGAATTGCGTGTGAATACATGTGAATACGCGTGATAGTCATCACTTGTTCATACGCATGATATTTATCATGTGTGAATATGCGTGATAGTCATTAGAAGATAGCGGGTTTGAGATTTTAGTAATTTGTGTTATGTTTGCTGATTTCCATTGATCAGGGAAGTAGATGTTTTCTATCAGGCAGTTAAACAGGATATTGAGTGATGGGGCAATTTTCAAGTGAGCAGATTTGAGTAAAATTGGGGAGAGATCGTCATGTCCTGATGATCCTGTCTTTAGTTTGCTGAGTTGGCTGACAATGTTATTAATGGTAAAAATGGGGGTAATAGGTAAGAGGAGTATCCTCAGGGCAGGTATTTTGGGTACACTTGAGCAATAGCTAGTTTGATTTCTTGTTCAGGTACTGAATTAGACAGGGGGTTGGTTGTCGGTTTTATTTATTCTATTTTATCTGAATATTTTTTGTTTAAAGTATAATAGTGCCACCACCTATGTGATCCTGAGGTTGCTTGTATTTGAAATTTTTCTAAATTGCTTCTTTTATATTTGAATACTGTGAAAGAGGATGCTACTTCAAAGCAGAGAAAATAGAAATTTTGGGTTCCATAGACTTATTTTATGATCAATATGTGTATGATGGATAAAAAAACATTGAAAATGCAGGAATACAAAAATGCTATAAATTTTTGTTTAACTTGCTTAGAAGAAGAATTGCTTAGAAGGAAATTTGAACTAATTGATCTTCCACCTGTATACAAAAATTATTTTTTAGTACAATACAGTCTCGCTAAAATACATATTCTAGAGTGTCACCTTGTCTCCTTTGTAGAACACTAAAATATTAGGTTATGCAGCACTGGAACTTGAAGTGTTTAAGTAACTATGCAGACTTTAGGTAACTACACAAAATAATGCTGTGAAGCTGTTTATCACAAATTTAAAAAAATTTGAGCGAACTGTTAAAGTGCCATAGAACACAAAAATTACTGAAGTAAACTAATATCTACTGTAGTGAGCTTTAACTTAAACAAGTTGTAGTATTAATATTATTTGTGTTATAAATGTATGTGTATTAAATGTATTTTTTTGTAAATAAAATAAATATTAATGGATTACATTGACTAATATAATTGAATTTGATAGAAGCAAAACAAAAAACTAAACGTTTTAGTTTTAAAAATGTTTGTAATGTATGTAATGTTAATTATTTTAGCACCAAATTCAGATTTTTTTGACAACATAATGTTCACTAATGCATATGATCAATTAAATGCAAATTGTTTAATTATAATAATAATGCTTTTAAAGTTGATTATTTTTTGCTTGTTAAAACAAAAATAAACATTTATTATTTTATAAATCTATAAAAATTGTTGAGAGTAATTATAAAATAAATATTTCTAGTTTAAAATTAAAACCAATAAATTGTCAAATCTTATTTTCTATATTTGTTCTGCTCATTATATTTTTATTAGAAAAATTGTTTAGTAATCTTATTTCGTGTGCAAATATAGAATCTTGATGAAATATCTAGTAAAGGCTGGAAAGCACTTCACGTTGGGTGTGATGTTGTTAACTGCTTTCAACCTCCTAGGAAGGATTCAATTGAAAAGTAATTTTTTTTTCTTGAAAATCCTTTTGATTTTTTTAATGATTTTAAAATTTAAATTTGGTTCTTCAATGTTCATTTTTTTAATTTTATTTATTTAGAGCAAAAATATTGTTAGACGACTTCTTTGGAAATATAAAACTGACAAATTCTGAAGAATTTACTGTGCATGCAATTGGTCATTGTCATATTGATACTGGTAAATTATTTATTAAAATTAGAAATATTCTGATTTAGCTAAATGAAAAAGGCCATTTATGATATCATACTGAATTAGTCATAATGCAGGGTTTCAGTACTTATGTTTAAAGAAGTTTTGGATTTGGGAAGACATCATACATAATAACCAATACACATATTTATGTATAAAGGACATTTGTTTGGGCAAACAAAAATATTTTTTTATTTATTTTTTTACTATTTATCTGATTTTGAAATCTGAAAAAGTTTTGAAGCCTTTTTATTACTTCCATTTTACATAAGTACTGATACAAAAATGATTGATTTTAGGGCTCTTTAGAACTTTAAAATACTTAAAAATATATCTTAACTCTTAACTTTTAGGACTTCCTATGTACTTTCCTGGTATTATAGATAAATTTATTGATGACAGTTGTTATTTATTTTATAGCATTTTTACTTTGTATTATAGTGTTGTGACCAAAACTAAAAGTTGTAAATAAACTAAAAAAACTGTAACTAAAATTAGTCGACTAACTTTTTAGTTGACTAAAATTAGTTGACTAATTTTTTAGTTAACTAAAATCAGTCGACCAACTTTTTAGTTAACTTAAAGGAAAGGGTAAAAGCATTAGTAAGCTTTAATCAAGTAAGTGTTTTACTTTCGGGCGATACTTATCCAACATGTTCTTTAATTATTCCAAGTACTTTGAGAAGCAACTATATACAAAAAGTGATCCCCCTCCTTTAATTGTGCTATTAAATTGCATTTATTAGAATCTTTACAAACTTACAAAGATTCATACGAATTAGAGAATAATTCATTTTTAATATGTGCCACTTTTTTGGATCCAAAATATAAAAGTTTTCAACTCTTTGAAAAGTACAAAAAATTTTTTTTTTTTTAATGCGTTAAGGAATTTTTGTCAGATTTTTATTTGACAAAATAAGTTTGTGATATATTTCCAGTTAAAAAGGTGACAATCAAATCAAAAAAATTTAAGTTATCATTTGATGAAGAAAGTGATGATTCCAGAAATGATAATGACAAAATAATAAGTTTAGATTTAAAAAAAGAAATTAGTGGTTTATAAAATTGTCAGTAAATGAGCAAATTGTTTTACTCTTTTGGCAAATGTATTTCCAATATTGTATTATAATTCAATTTTATGATTTTATGTACGCCTGCTACCAGTGCACCAAGTGAACGCCTTTTCTCTGACTTTCTCTGATTTAAAAAATGAAAATTGGTAGTTGTATAAAATTGTCAGTAAATGAGCAAAATGTTTTTACACTTTCGGCATCAAAATCAACATATGTTTCCAATATTGTATTGTATTTCAACAATAATTTTTATGTACGTCTGTTACAAGTGCAATAAGTGAGCGCCTTTTTTCTGACCCATTAAACAATTTGTATGCAAAGCGAAACAAAATGACAACTGAATGTTTTCAAATGTTGATGTTTTTGTAAGAAAATTTGGAATTTTTAATTTAGTTTAAATTCATTAAATTTAATACTGAAGTTTTTTCTTGTAATAAATATTTTTTAAAATATTTTATTGTTCGTAAATAAATATTAAATTTAATATTTGTGTGAAAATATTTGTAACTCTTTTGTGTGAAACTGATTTTTTTTGTTGCAAAAACGTAAAAAATTAATATAGTTTTTTAAATTTAAAATGTATTTAAAAAAAATGGTAAAGAAAAAATTGAAAATTAAAAAAATTAATGTGTGATTTTAATGTTCTAGAGTGTGCAGTTTTATCATGTTGCCTAGAACCGCAAACCTTTTTTTTTACCTTTATTACTTTGATAGTTTGGTTAATTTTTTAAAAATATTTATTTATATATTCTTCAGTATTTTTTTTTAACATCTATTTAATGAAAAAATATAAAAATAAATATAATAAAAAAGTTATTGAATTTTAATTGATAGTTGTTTTGACCCAGTTTTACATGTATTTTAAAGTGCTTAAAGGTTACGTATTGCATTTTTCAAGTAATTAAAATGTCATAAACAATTTCCTGGTTTTAAAAGCAACCACAGCTACTTAATAAAATGTTTTCAATATTCAATAGTTAAGTATTTTTTAATACATTTTATACACTATTCAACAAATAGCAGAAATTGCATTCTAAAATGCGAATACCAATCTTCCTTTTAAATTTTGCAAGTCTCACAAAACTATGAACAACTATATTTTGAAAGCAATAAATAAGTTCATAATAACTTATTTAACGATTACCTTTTGGGTTTATGTCAATACTTTCGCCTGCCTAACTGTAGTGTTTGCGGGTTATAGTAGTCGGGAGAGTAGATGCAATAAATGTTTGTAGGCTGCGTATTCTATTTGTGGTGGCGGTTACATTAACATTACAATAGGTTTGGGGATGGTTAATAAAGGGAGGGGATTTAATGTTCATTTATAATTTTTAAGTGAACACAATATTTTTATATCTTCTGTATTTGGAAGAACTAGAATGCCAAATGTTTCTATTGCATTGTTTCTAATTTTTTTTTTACTGTATTTTGTTTTGTTTTTCTGTTGTTTTTATTTTTACTTTTTTTTTTTTTTTGTATATCGATTGGTTATCAATTGTTAGGAGAGGTTGATATTTGAAGGGGTCATAGATAAGTTGTGAAAATTAGAGATTGAATCCATTCCTATAATATGGCAGGGGACAGGGCCGTACTGAAAGACAAGGTCGTGGAGGAGGGGGGGGGGTGCAAATGAGAAAAGCTTTTTTACCATAAAAATTCTACCAAAGTAGAGCTTTTTTTCAGTTTTAACCGACAAAAATGACGAAATATTGTAAATCTAGGAAGATGCCCACACCCCCGTCAGTACGGCTTTGGCAGGGGAAATTCTTGATGTGCGATTATTTTTGCACACTACCTATAGGACGCGGCACATAAAAAATATAAGTTAAATGTTCAATTTTTTTAATAAGTTAAGCATACCAAATTTGATTATGATAATAAGTTAAGCATACCAAAATGAAATAAGTTAAGCATACCAAAATTGACTAAAGGGCATTATTTGCACATTTCATGCTGATTGGGTGTTTATAAACAGTTGCAACAACCTCATAGGCAATTGTCTCCGAGCTGGGAAAAAATAAATATAATCAAATTTAGCTTATAACATTTTTTTGAATAACAGTTTAATTCGGCTGGATTCATAATTTGTATAGTGTTTAATTACAATAAAATAATATTTAACTGCCTTAATAAAGCTTCCTAGTGTGTAAAATTTTTATGCTAAAGATTATTTCTTTTTTCAAACACTAAATCTTGCTTTAGTCGACTAAATTTAGTTACAGTAAATATTAGGTCGACTAATTTCAGTTAACTAAAAAGTTAGTCGACTAATTATAGTTAGCTAAAACATAAGTCGACTAATTTTAGTTTAACTAAAAAGTTAGTCAGGTAATTTTAATTAGTCTAAAAAGTTAGTTGGGTAATTTTGGTTGGCTAAAAAGTTAGTCGGGTAATGTTAGTTAGACTAAAAAGTTAGTTGGGTATTTTAAGTTAACTAAAAAGTTAATCGGGTCATTTTAGTTAACTAAAAAGTTAGTCAACTTATTTTAGTTAACTAAAAAGTTAGCTGGGTAATTTTAATTATCTAAAAGCTTAGTCGACTAATTTAAGTTTACTAAAAAGTTAGCTGACTAATTTTAGTTAGACTAAAAAGTTAGTTGGGTAATTTTAGTTAGACTAAAACTAACCTTAACTCCCACCTCTATTGTATTAGTTAATTTAATTGACATTTCTTTAAACAATTCTATTTTTAATTCTAATTCTGGTTTTATTTGTTTTTGTTACTATTTTGACTATTATTACTATCATTATTGTTATTACTATTATCATTATTACTTTTTATTTGTTATTGTTTGTATTTTGAAAATATATTTATTTAAATCAATTTTTAGCATGGTTATGGCCATATGAAGAAACAATTAGAAAATGTGGTAGAAGCTGGTCATCAGTTATTTCTTTAATGAAAAGATACCCAAATTTTACTTTTGCTTGCTCTCAGGTATTTAAAAATTTCCCATTCCAGTATTAATTAAAATTCCCATCATGTTATTAAATACTGTCTTTCAAAACTCTATCTAAATTAAATAAAATCCAAAGAATTAAAAAAGGAGGCTTAAGAATACTAGTTGTTTTAGTTGCAAAATAGGTTTGACAAAAAAGTTTTTGTTTTTGTTTTTTTGTTATAAATTGCAGTTTTTTGCAATTAGTTCTGAAAAAATTGTTTTTATTGAAAATGTGATTTTTTTAAAATATTTTTCATATGTTTTTGAAAGTCATTATTTGTAGATGCATACAAATAATGTGCACATAATAGAAACCTTATTTTTACACAAAAAACGGTTAAATACTTTTTATTCAATTAGTATATTACTGTATTGTTGTGGATGAAATATTGATCTTATTCTGAGGTGCGGCTTACATGTTTTTTGTGGGTTTATATCCTCCATAGGGATTTTTTATTTTTGTTTTAATGTTTTATTGCTAGTTAGTTTTATGTTTTTTTAACTATTATTCCTGTTTATTTATAGTTAGGAAAAATTTGTTTTCTCACAACTTCTTACCATGCCTTTTGACATGTTGACTATACTTTTGAAAAACATTTACACAATCACTAAAGAGTGATTCTTAAAATATGTTTATAGTTTATTTTTCAATTTTAAGGCTGCCCAGTTTGAATGGGTGAAAAAGACTTATCCATCCCTCTTCAAAGATATTAAATATTATACAGAGGCTAAGCAGTTTTTTCCGACAGGCGGAACATGG